CTCTTGGGATCTTGGCCACGCACGCACACACGCCCGGCGTGAGTTTAAGCCACTGGGTCCAGGACTCGAACCGGGTCGACTACGTGGGAGTCCAGCGACATAGCCATTACGCTAACTGCTGGTCTTCTAGTTTTTCATAATATATTTTTTCCATGAGCTTTTTGAAGACCTCCCCCCATTAATTGCATATTTTTAAACACTAAAAATTAAAGTCATTATAAATGTCCATCAATAAAGGGTTTAATTGAATGGAATAAATCATTATATACACACATTTTAAATGAGACAGAAAGATGTCTATGATTTAACAAAGAAGAATCAGAACGATTTCAATGATAAATCTCGTTTTTAAACTGTACTGATAAAAATGTGTATGTGCATGGTTACAGTACGTGCACAAATGAAATATACATAGAAAACGGCTATAATGCACTACTCTAAGAAGATTTACTGAACCTCTCTTCTACTAAATACCACGTTAATCCATATAAGCAGCTATGTACTCCCTAAAACAAAACTCATAATCATATAGGACATTCAACATTTTAAAGGATTTTCCTTTCTTCTAATATTTGCTAGTTACTAAATTCAAAACTGATTTTTCTTCCAAAAGAGAACTAATGAATAGGAAAAACGATGACTGTCATCCCTGCAAACTTTAAAGGGTATTAAATTCAACTTCGGGGGATTCCACATAACAGAAGTACAATGACAAAAAAGTCATTGATTAAACATGTGATTGTAATACTTCACCCCAAATATTCACTATCTCCAAAACGAAACAATGGGATCCATTTTTTAAACAAGACTTCGGTGGTTTCTACAGTGACAGATAAAACTCAGCGTCTTCTGTTTTGTTTTTCATATTCTGCCCATTGTAACAGTTTTCAACACTTTATCAACGAAATACCTTCCAAACTTCATCAAAACTATGAACTGTACTAATGGTTTCATCCTCGTTTATGGCATAAATATTTGCCAACAAGTCTTGAAGCACAACTTTAATATTAAAAAAATTTAGGTCAACAATATGGGTTACTTCATTAAACACTTCTAATATTTAAACTTGATTTTCAAAATACTGACACTCCCTAGAATTCATGCTTTAAGAATCCGTTACTTTCTTAAAGCAGCTTTGCAAAGGATAAAGATGTATGGTGCTACTTTACCGAGCTGCTGGCGTCGGTCATAACCACCACAGTGGGCACTGCTTCCGTCCTGCCCATCCGCTGCCTCCTCTGATGAACGCACACTCAGATGGCTCAGGTTAAGCAATCTTGCAGGGCTCTCCTGAAGACTATCTCTGGTATCCAAAATCACATCTCTCAAAAGACTAGGAGGAACGACTCTCTTTAAAAAATCCATGTTACGTGTCTACACTAGCAGATTCACAAGAACACAGAAAGGTGTCTGTCCCGACTTCCTGGATGGGAACCGAAGGTACGTTACTTCAAAGACACGCCATCTGCACGCAGGCGGTGCTACAACCCGGAGGTCGACTGCCAGCTGTTCCAAAGCTGATTTTAGGACACTGACTGCTTGTACTGATAACAAACCCACAGCTACAGACCGTGAAACTGCACTTCACAGACGTGTGTGTGTGTGTGTGTGTGTGTGTGTGTGTAATGGGTGTTAACAGCAATACTGAGACCATAAAATACAGCAATACTGAGACCATTGATCTATATTTAGACTTTGAAAATTTTCACTAAAATTATGGAAAGACAAATTTACTTTGCTCTAAGGTGTGTCTTCCTTTAAACCTACAGCTGAAGTGTAAAACAGTAGCTTGTATTCAAAAGATAATTCTTATCATCTTGAAACTAGACCTCAGGGTTATCAGCTTTTTTTTTCTTCACCCACAATAAGGGTACATGTGTACACCAGTGAGGGAGAGAGAGGGAGAGAGATGGATACGCAGGCGCAGTGTCTGCTAACACCACAATCCCCTTCCTTCCGTGCTCAGCCCATCAGATCTTGGCCACTTGTGCACATACCCGGTGTGGTTTAAGATGACCAGGCAGGGGGTCTGAACCTTGGTCTCCAGGTGCGAGAAGATGAAAAGGAGTCTTTTATACTGTATCGCGAATATTGCAATGTCCTCATAAACAACAAAATTATCATAATCAATCATGTACATTGATAGTGGTGGAAACCTTGGCATGAATTACCAAAAAGTAATTGATAATTAAACATACGGATCTATGGACCAGCAGGTGACAGCAGTAAGTCACTGGACTCCCACATGGCTGACCGTCATGCAAATCCTTGACCCCGCAGCTTGAAAATCACGCCGGGCACATGTGCGTATGTGCCCAAGATCCCAGGAGAATGGAGAAGTGACAGCAGCATCGCTACCCTCAGAGGATGATTTCTCACTTTCCCTCTCACCATCGCTCTCTCTCTCTCTCTGGTGAGTGCACATGCCCTATGACAAAAACCTCTTAAAAAAATATGGCTCTAAGAACATAAAACTGAAGAATTTACATTTTTAATTAAAGATAGTAATCAATACTAGATAACTTATTTTTACAATACCTGAGTAATCTACTAAATATTTTAAATAGCAAGTGTACCTGACCCTAATGTAAACTAAAAGTATGACGAAACATTCCAGCGAAAAGGTGCCAGCCAAAGCCTTAGAAAATTAGAATTCTCAGGACCAGCAGTTGGCGTAATAGCTGTCGCTGGACTTGTAGTCGACCACGGTTCAAGTCCTGGCTTAAACTCACGGTGGGAGCGTGTGCGTGCATGCCCAAGATCCCGAGAGGAGAATGGAGGAGAAGGGATTTTGGCATGGCCATCCTCCCTGGGGGGGCGATTTCTCACTTTCTGTCTCTCTGTCTCTCTGTCTGGTGAGCGCACGTGCCCTATAGCAAAAACGTCTTCAAAAAAAGAAACTTAGGGGAACCAGCAGTTAGCGTAGTGGCTATGTCGCTGGACTCCCATGTAGTCGACCGTGGTTCACGTCCTGGACCCGGTGACTTAAAACTCACGCCGGGCACGTGTGCATGCGTGCCCAAGATCCCAAGAGGAGAATGGAGGAGAAGGGATTGCGGCATGACCATCCCCCCCGGGGGGTGATTTCTCGCTTTCTGTCTCTATGTCTCTCTCTGTCTTTCTGGCGAGCGCACGCGCCCTATAGAGAAAAACTTCTCAAAAAAAAAAAAAAAAAGAAACTTAGAATTCTCTCGTCCTATCCTTTTCTCTGCCTGCCCTCGGTGGTGATGCCAAGTGAGCAAGGAAGAAATGACAAAACACGAAACAGAGAAGGAGTAAACGCCCTTACATAATAACAGATTTAAAGCCTTGAATGATACACGTTTTCGTAGTAATTTAAAAATGACTTTACTGAAGGAAACAGGTACAATTTCATTCTTCTAATACTCTCCAGGAAAAGGATGATTTACATAATACTTCCCCCAAAAAAGAAGCAAAAGTGGTCTACATAAGTATCAGAAAAAAGGTTGTAATAGAAAAACATAAATTTCTGGTTCCAAATTACCCGTGTTCAGCCCTCGCATCTCATTACTTCTATAAAATCCAGTCTTCATTTCACACGTCCAAGAGGCCCTTTACCTGTAACACCGTGCTCTACTGTTAAGGTCAGAGAAAACTCAGGGGACTTCTTAATGCAAACCCTATCATCCTACGTGAGGGATCCTACAGTAAAAAGAGGGGGAGGGGACCAGCACATGGAGTAATGGTTTCATCGCTGGACTCCCACGTAGTCAACCATAGTTCGAGTCCCAGACTCGGTGGCTTAAAAACTCACGCCAGGAGCATGTGTGTGTGTGCCCAAGTTCCTGAGAGGAGACTGGAGGAGAAGGCACTGCAGTGTGGCCATCCCTCCACGGGGGCGATTTCTCACTTTCCGTCTCTGACTCTGTCTGTCCGGTGACTGCACATGCCCTAAAGCAAAAATCTCTCTCTTAAAAAAATAAAGGCGAGGGGAGGGATATAAAACAAAGAAATGGAGTAAAAGACTCAAATTCTCTGTCCTAAGGCAAGACGATATCTAACAGGGAAAAAAAGAGACTTAAAAAAAAATGCTTCTAAGAGGCAAAGTCTCTCTTAATCCTCGAGCATAAAAAGATAAAAATTACCACTGAATATTTCCCACAAATAGCAAATAAATAAATAAAAGAATTAAAACCATAAGCGATGCCTTAAGACACCTGAAAATGAGCGTTTTGTTTTCCAGGTCCTTTTGTTCTCTCTCTCAGGGTGATGACCTTATCTTCCACTGTGGCTTCCCCCAGGTCTCCCTGCAGGCCTTCCTTATCTGTGGCACCCAGAAACACAGTGGCGTTTAGCACATGATAATTACAGATGGGAAGTCTCCTTCACATTTGTCCATGACACACACACACACGACCATCTGTGTCATTACTAACCCCATCGTTCTAAAGTGTACTTTCAAACTGGAGGAGGAGTTTGGGGGTCAAGAAAGAGGTGCTACAGGAGAGATTTTTCTCAGGTTTCCTTCTTCCAAAGAGTATCTGCTGAGTAGCTTCTATAATGATCTGTTCAAGCTACAATGCCACTGAAGATAGGTCTATATGGCGAAGACACTATTTAAGATGGGACATAAACTCACAGCTACCCCGTGGGGTGGCCAGAGCTTTGTTGACACTACTATAATTCAGTTTCTTCTGCCTAATCTGCTTCCTGTCCCCCTCTCTCCATGGGTGTTGATCGCTAATAATATCCTGAAGCCTCAGCTTGCAGAGGACCCACCCTGAGACACACAGCCCGGGCAAGGGTGGCATTGCAATGACAAAGCAGACCCCCTGCTAGAATCTCTGAGGGAAAACGTCCTCAAAGCCTGTTTCCATGTTGACATTTCTAAGCACTCCGGGTTATCACACCTCTGACCTCCTGGTTTAATAGTGAAGGAATCGAGAAATGATCGTGGGAGCTTATAGTTAAAAACAGCCTTTAAAATCGTTTAGACCTCAGGCACAACTTGGCCTTCAGGGCACTCACTGTGATCTTACCGTATCACTTGAAGACAGTAATTTCTGGGCGGTATCTGGGATCATCTAATCCTGACTGTGTGACTCGCGAGCAGTTTTGAGAAGTAAGCATGTAGATGTTAATCATCCAAGATTCAAATAGATGGCTTCAGCTCTGAAGAAAAACAAAACACAACATTTACACATTAGGTGTATTTTTAATAAGTGGGACCAGCCAGATGGCATAATGGTTACGTCACTGGACTCCCACGTAGTCAACCGTGGTTCAAGTCCCAGACCCAGCAGCTTAAAACTCATGCCAGGTACATGTGCGTGCTTGCACAAAATCCTGAGAGAAGAACGGAGAAGGGATTGCAGTGGGGACACACCCACATCACCCCCCCACCTCCGACCACAGTGCAGTGACTTTTTGCTTTCTGTCCCTCTCTGTCTCCGGTGAGCGCACATGATCTATAGCAATAATCTCTCTTTCAAAACAAACAAAACAGGGACCAGTAGTTAGCGTAATGGCTATGTCGCTGGACTCCCATGTAGTCGACAACGGTTCGCGTCCCGGACCCGGTGGCTTAAACTCACGCTGGGCGCGTGTGCGTGCGTGCCCAAGATCTCGAGAGGAGAATGGGGAAGGGGCTGCGGCGAGGCCATCCATCCCCCTGGGGGGTGATTTCTCGCTTTCTGTCTCTCTGTCTCTGTCTGTTTGTCTGGCTAGCGAGCTCACACGCCCTATTGCAAAAACCTCTCCAAAAAAAGAAAACACACACACACACACACACCCACACACACACACACACACACAAAGAACCTTCCTCAGTGAATTCTCATGTCTATCCCTGCCTCTGAATATCCTGCATACCAGTGTTACCTAACCCTGCAGTTATCCTCTTTCAATGACATATGACATTTTTGGTTAAGATGTTGTTAGGGGAAATGTCAACTAATGCAAAATGATCGAGAATAGTACCATGAATACTCCATGAATTCTGGCTTCAAAAAGTAACTCATAGCAAATCATGTTTCATTTATATCTTCATCCATCCCCAGACCCAATCCCACCACTCTGGATTATTCTGTAACAAACCCAGACGTCAGATCATTGTATCTGCAGAAAAATTAGTATATATTTCTCTAAGACAAATATTTAATTTTTAAACATAAGTTAATGCCATTATAATACCTATAATACATTAATAATAACTTATTTTTATGATACCTATAACAGATTAATAATAATTTCATGAACTACCAATAAGTACACAAATTTCCCCAACTGTCTCAAAAGCATTTTTTAACGCTTGTTCTAGTCCAAATCTAGACAAAAATCTACACACTAATAGTAACCGTGTCTCTTAAATGTCTTTTGTATTTTCTTTTAGGCTTTTGCCATAGAGCGTGTGCACTCACTGGAGAGAGACAGAGAGAGGCAAAGTGAGAAATCACACCCTGGGGGGATGGCCACACCGCAATCCCTTCTCCTCCATGCTCCTCCTGAGATTTGGGGCACCCATGCATGCACACATGCCCAGCCTGATGTTCAACTGCTGGGCCCAGGGCTCAAACTACAGCCGGCCATACAGAAGATCAGCCCTTAACCATCAAGCCACCTGCTGACTCTTCTTAAATCTCTTACTCTATAGTTTTCCTCTTCCTTTTCTTCTCTTTGTAGTGAAAAACAATGTTTTAACTAGTGAATGAATGAATGAATGAATATGCCATTATGTTAACTATTCAAGTATATATATATATACACACACACACAAAATAGTTCATGTATCTATTGGCTGAATATTGATGCAAATTACAGAGACCTTTCAGATGCGTATTTTTCGAAGTCTATTTATAGACTGGCATCATGGACTAGGGACAGCTGTACTACACCTGTAATAATAAAGCCAGTGACCAGAGGACTGCCCTGTCGTCCTTCTAAGGACTCACACAGCACTGCACACATTCCATGTTCTTATTACCATTAAAGGTCTTGGCATATTTCAACAGTGAAATAAGCCAAATTTTCAGCCTGGCGGTGAAATTCAAATAGCCTCATTTTAAATCATACCAATTTCTTACTGTATTTTTCTATTTAAGTAAGTCATGACAACATAATATTCCACTTATATACAGGCATGATCCGCTAAGTCATGGTAAGAACCAAGTGTTCGCAGTCAGGACCAGCAACAGGACCCTGACATGGTCCGCGCCCACCTGCCTTGTTCAGACGTCCAGGACTACGGGAGCCTCTTCACATACTTCCGCCTTCGTTAACAACATGGTATCTAATTCTGTCATGGTCCTGATACTTTACTTATCTCCATTTCATGAACTTCTCTCTCCCTTGAAGCAAATAAAGCTTATGTGACAAAGAGCATGTCATAGTCACACAGGTGTGTAGCTGTGTTTTGGACAGTATTTGATGAGACTTGACCTACTTTTCACATAATTTTCTCAGGCAAACCACAAGACCAGTCACTATTGGAATATAAAGCAGGGTTAGGAACACTACAACAACCCCATCTAGACCTGACCTCCTACCCCGGCTGGGTCTTTCGTTCTGCGTTCCTTTGCATAACGTTCTGTTCTGACCTAGCGAGTGCTAACGCCATGCTTCTGACAGTGACTCCTGCTGTACTAATGCTGTCATAGCACTGCCTCATTTTAAGCCTTGCCAATATTTGTCCAGCATTTTTCAGTATCTCCTCTGTAGATACAACTTTCCTATTCCCAACTTTCAATTTTTAATAAATATGTCTTCTGGTTACCCTGTAAATTTTTTGATTTATGCTTTTCTGACTTTTTTGATTGGTTGTAATCATCTTTAGCAGGGCTGAGTTGAGGGTGGCAAGTTTTGTTTTTTGTTTATCTTTCTTCCATGTCGATCATTTTTTCTTCTTATTTCCATAGACATTATTTAACATGGGATTCGTTTTATTGTCATCTCACTTGATTGATCTGGAGAACACGTTATCTTTAAGAGTAATTTTTGGAGCCAGGAGATGGCGTGGTAGGTTGCGGCGCTGGACTCCCGCGTGGCCAACTGTGCTTCAAGTCTCGGACCTGGCAGCTTGCTTTCTCGCTTTCTCTCCCTCTTCCCATTTCTGGTAAGTACATGTCCTCTACAGCCAAGTTTCAAACCAATAATAATAATAATAATAATAAATAAATTTAAATAAATAATTTTTAATTGTAATTTTTACTTAATTTTTATATTACCTTTGAGATTATGACAGTTATGCTATACACATGATCGGTGCTGTTACTTCTTAGTTTAAAAAATAATAAATAAAATAAGCAAGAAGGTTAGTTGGTATCTGCCAGTACTCACACAAAGACTGTAGTAGCAAACAGCAGACGTTGTAAAGGGTAAGACTTTTCACCTACAGAAGAAGTGACAGTCTAGCAGCTTCTACATGCAACAAATAATGAGAACAGTGGCCCAGCTCGGGTGCTTGAGAGGACCTCAATGTAAATTCGGTCTTTTAAGGGAGGGCCTTGCTTCGCTTCAATCCAGAAAGCGAAACAGAGAGATGAACAGATGTTCAGATAACACATTAACCTCTTCCTTTCTGAGTAGAATTTCTAGAAGAATTAGTAACAGAAATAACCACAAATTAAATTATCTTGATTTTAGTGAGACATCTAATGTAAGTGTATGTTTCTGGTATACATTAATACAGGAAACAATTATTCCCCCAAGTAGAATGAAAATTAGGAGTAAACTCATCTCAGTGATGTTCAGTGTAGTATTCTCAATACTTGTCTATATGCTTCATTATTTGAAAAACAGAACAAGAAAGTCACGGTGCCTCAGCCAAAGAAACAATAATTAGGGTAAAGAGACAACCCTCAGAATGAGAGAATATATTTGCAAACTCTCTCTCAGTTAAGGGACTGATATCCCAAATATACAGAGAACTCGAGCAGCTTACCAGCAAAAAAATACTCAGCCCAGTTAAAAGGTGGGCAAATGAACTAACTGACAACTCTCCAAGGAAGACATACCAAAAAGCCAAGACGCATATTAAGAAAATTCTCAACATCCCTTATCATAAGAAAGATGCAAATTCAGGGGCTGCAGGTGATGTGGTGGTTAATGCACTGGACTCCCACATGGTTCAAGTCCTGGACCTGGCAGCTTGCTTTCTCACTCTTTCTCTCTCTCTCTCTCTCTCTCTCTGATCAAATTAAATAATAATAATAAATAAAATAAATAGTTCTAAAAAGAAGTTTTAAGAAAGAAAGATGCAAATCCAAACCACAATGAGCTATCACCTAACCCCAGTCAGAATGGATAAAATTAAAAATAAAAAGAATGATAAGTGCTGGTGAGGCTGCAATGAAAAGGGAACTGTCCTATACTGTTGGTGGGAATGTAAATTAGTCCAGCCACTGTGGAGAACAATATGGAGGTTCCTCAAAGACCTACAAATAGAACTACCATATGATCTAGTAATTCCATTTTATCTAACCAAAGGCTAGGAATACCCTCAGTCAGAAAAACACTTACACATCCATGTTTACTGAAGCATTCATTTACAATTGTTAAAACATGGAATCAACCCAAATGTCCAAGAGCAGATAAATGAACTGAAAAAGTGTGGCACAAATATACTATGGAATAGTACTCAGTCATAGAAAAACAATGAGACTCTGGCATTTGATACAAAGAGGATGAATATGGAAGATTTAATGTTAAACAAAACAAGCCAGACTATGAAAGAGAAGCATTGTATGTCCCCACTAAATATATACTGAATGTCTGCGCTCTATGTCAGAAGCTGAAAAACTGGAAGGTATAAAAGCATGGAGAGCAACTGTGGCTCCTAGAGACAGTGTGGGAGGAGGGTGGGAAATGAAGGTGGGTGGGAGAAAAGGGATCAATGGCAAAAAGATGCAAACTATTTAACAGACACAAAAATGGTAAATTATCTGTGGATGATAATATGTATGGTAATGCCTTTAGACTAATATACAGTGTATCGGTTCTGGGAAAATTCATTTTGTATGCTGCAAAGATACACAATGATTGAGTATAAAAAAATAAGAAAATTTAAAAAAGGAAGAAAAAGATAAAAGAAAACGATAGCTATAGTGCCTCACACAAGGTAGAATTCAACTCAGCAAAATAAAGAGCAACTTAACTATTGTGAAAT